TGTGTTATAAGGTTAACTTATATAGCATGAATATATAGAATTGAAGATTGCGCCTATAAATAACATTCCTTGTCACATCACATTGAGGAAATTCTATTAGGCTATCATATTTTTTTAATAATAAATTCATATATTTTAATAATTAAAAAATATTTAATGCATAAAAAAAAAGTTTACTATTTGTGTAAAAATTAATAATAAATTATATTTTAAAATAAATCGGTAATTTTATAAACTAAATTATAATTAAAAATTGAAATTAAATTGTAATATAAATTTATAATTTAAAAAAAAAAAAAAAACTCTATACTTTTCATATTGCTTTGCCTTTATATTCCTTTTTCTTTGTTGTCGTCCATATTGCTTGAATTTGTAGAGCAGTTGTCATACATATATATATATATATATATGTGTGTGTGTATATATATATATATATTCTTCAACTTTATCCCAAATATCTTTAGAGAAGAATAATATTTTTATCATGTGTTATAGGTTTCTTGAAATTTAGAATAATTGGAAGGAATTTGGAATAATTTAAAGCTTATGATTTTTTGAGACACTTTATAAAATTCCAATACCACCTTTAGGAATTTTTTTGGTTCACCATTTTCTTCCTTTATTTTTAATAATTTAATTTTTTTTAATTCAAACAAGCAAAAGGGTATCCACAATTTGAACTAATAATATGAATTTCCATTGCCTAAAATTGTCTATTATGTATATATATATATATATGTGTGTGTGCATACACCCTGGATTTGTATTTCCAAAACAGATATGAACAAAAAATTTAGTTGACCAATTTATAGCCTAATATTTCCAAAGAGAGCAAACCGCCTGAGTTGATGTACTCCCACCGCTTCATCCTTTGGCCGCCATCACGATCCCGCCATTTGCAAATCTTCTGATCTTCATTTTATCCAAATCTAATTCTTGAGTTCTTTTGTGCCCGACAAATAATTAACTATAAATTTCTTTCTAACAATGGCAAGTAATTTCCAATACAGTGTATGTAGTAAATGTACAAGTCTAGAATCCATGTAGCAGTATTTCTTTTTGATCATAATATGCTAATTTATTCAGTACTGAATTTATGATACACAACCAACCAGGAAGACTGATCATCATAGATCTATCATTTTCACGATCGAAGTCCATAGATTCTCGTAGCTCACGCACGCGTTCATATGATAATTAGTGAAAATATAGCATCATATTCTGAGTTACATATATAATGAAATTACAAACTATCATCACCTATGCTATAATAACCGAGCATCGATCGTTTTCCGTTCTTCATTACCATAGTTGAGGCCCGTGTGGTGGAGGAGGGCCAGGCGGACCAGGCAGCGGGGGCCCTGGTGGTGGTGGATGGTGAGAAAATGGCGGTGGCGGCCCTGGAGGACCAGGTGGCGGCGGATGATTGACTCGTAGTGGTGATCCAGGCGGGCTTCGTGGTGGTGCAAGAGGGTCAGGCGGTGGCGGATGAAGAAAGATTGGAGGGGGGCCAGGTGGCGGCGGGTGATGAAGGATTGGTGAGGGGCCAGGTGGTGGTGGTGGTGGTGGTGCAAAAGGTTCTGGCGGTGGTCGATGATGGAAGGGAAGGCCAGGTGGCGGTGGACGAGGTGGTGGTGGTGCAAAGGGGTCTGGTAGCGGTGGAGGATGCTTCTGACCCATTCTATCTGATCTCGACAGCTCTCCTCTTACATACCCTGTTTGGAGTCCCAATGAACTATTAATGAGGATGTATGTGTGTGGGTGTGTATGTGTGTGTCTATATATATATATATATGTGTGTGTGTGTGTGTCTATAACATATATGTTTAAGAAAGAAGGGTGTAGAAGTACTTAGACACGGCACAGAATGGTAGTTGAAACTTAGAATGTTTGGTTCAAATACCCTGCA